ACTGTGGCTTTGCTAAGAGGTTAGATGATGGGCTGTATAGGATGGCTTGGATAAGGAGGACCCTGTCTCAGGCAGGGGGTTGGACTAGTTGACCTCTGGAGGTCCCTTCCAGCCCTGTCTCACTATGATTGTATGATTTCTGAGATCATCTGCCCATAACCAGCACAACTAGCAGGCACAATGCCCTCAAAACACCAAGGCCCCCCCTAACCTGCTACAGGTAGTGCAGGGGGTGCAGGGACTGCGTCCTGCTGGTGCAGGAGGGATGAAAGTACACATCGGAGATCCAAGGAGAGGGCCATGCCTCTGCTACTGAACAGGGCGCAGGGAGGCTGGTTTCCTCTGATGTACCATGAGGGAGCAGGAGCTGGGATCCTGACCCCTGCTGGGCTACCTCGCTAGGAGGGCCTGGCACAAGACCAGCCCTCGTTAGCGTTGCTGGTCTATTGGGAATGGCTGTAAGTGGGGTGTGGTTGTCATCGTTATTAAGATGGTGGTTATCTTCAGTTGGATGATGGTGATAGCTATGTCTATAATGTCAATGATGATGACGATGACCAGAATGATGACGATAGCCGTGGTGATGGCGATGCCTGGCTAGGAAGGGAGAGGCTGGGCTCGCTGGCGGTTCCCTGTCCCTAATGGCATCTAGCAGGAAGGGTGTGGGCCCAGCTTCCTTTCTGGGTTGGTTTCTGCATTCACTGAGCAGCAGAGCTGGGCTCTTGGGGGCACTGGAGGAGGGATCCACAGCCACTGCAGAGAGCTTGGTGTGCCGCACCTCGTAGACCCCCTTGCCTCCCCTGGAGCAGCTCTTCTGATGCAGTCAGAAGAGCTGATGCCCACGGCTCACAAGTTCCTCTCCACCTAGTTATTTACACCTGAGAGCATGGGGGTGAGCTGAGACGGACTCGTTCTGGGGGCAGGGACCCGCTCACCAGCTTCAGCCCAGCCTGGGCTCAGCTTTGCAGTAGGATCTGACCCCTCGAGGAGCGATGCTGTGGGCCCTGGAGCGCAGAGCCGCAAGCCGCACTGGCTGTGGATGATTGCAGCCCCAGTTCCCCTCTCCCAGGGCACTGGGCAGGGCCCCTCTGCACGCGGGCATGGCTGGAGAGCTGGGCCTGGAGCTTCAGGGCCAACTGATCTCCTCCTGGCAGCCTATAGTGCAGGGGAAGCAAGGTGAGGCTGCTCCCAGGGCCTGACCAGGAGAGAGGGGTGGGCTAGGCTTCCTGTCCCCTCTGCACACACTTTCTGCACCCCTAGCTCTTGGTTGGTCCTGGACCTGGCGAGCTAGCCAGGGTAGGGGCTGAGACTGGATGGGGAGGGGAGCTTTCCCAGGATATCCACATGGCCGGGCTACAGGTGCTATCCCCAGGTTGGGAAGGGGGCTCTGCCCCCAGCCCGGGTGAGGAGTGCTACTGAGCTAGCATCACTGTCTGTGGCGATGCCCAGGGAGCATTGGCTGGTGGCAGCTCTCCTCCTCCTACTGCAGTGCCCTGCCCTGTGGGTTGCTGCGGGCCAAGCTGGGCTGCTCCTAAGAGCACAGAGCCCTACAGCTGCACTGCATCCGGGCCAGTTCCCCCAGGACCCGCCTGGCCTCTCCTTTGAAACTGGGGGCCTTGCTGCAGAGGGTCCCCAGGAGGAGCTGCCAGTGCTCCACCAGGAAGAGCTACAGCAGGAAGGGAGGTTTTGAGCCCAACGGTGGGGGTCTGAGGGTCCAGTCTTGGGGGCGAAGAACTGGGCTGCAGGTTCAAGTCCTGCAGGGAGTAATGGGAGAACAGCAGGGCAAGCCCTGCGGGTCAGAGCAGCAGGGTCCTGGGTTTGAGCTTCATGGGGACAGAGCAGCGGGTCCCAGGTTCAAGTCCCATGGGGGTGAATTTGTGGGGTCACGGGTTCGAGTCCTGGTGGCAGGGGGCGGCCGGGACATCCCATCAAGAGCCCTGGGCGGTCTCTGCTCTCAGGTGGGCCTGGGGAAGCCCCCTCTCCTCTCCCAGAGACTTGCTTTGCCTTTGCCATGAGACCCGCAGCCCCCCACCCCAGTGCTTGCAGGAGGGGAGGAGTGCAGCGGAGCTCGTGCCCTCTTCTCTCCCCCGTCTCCTATTGAGTCTGTAAAATGCAGCTCTGCTCTGCCGATGCGCTGAGCTCCAGCCCACCAAAGTATCTTCCCCCCCTCCCCAGTAATTATTTAATTAGTAACAGATGCAGCTCTGCCCTGCCTTGCCACTGCACCGGGCGCAGAGCTTCAGCCCAGCGCAGCTCTGCCCCATCTCCAGCTTCCTTCGTCTATAAAGCGGGTGCAATGAGCTTCAGCCGGGGCAAGCTTGTGCTCGCTCGGGTTCTTGCTTTCTCCCTAGATCTAGATCGGTCTCTGCATCTCTATGCATCTATCTGTCTTCCTGAGTTAGTCTATAAAGGTGCCTCTATCTCTACCCCACCTTCTGCCACAATAGACGATGCAGGGAGCTTCAGCCCGCAAAGCTTTTGCCCTTTCTCACTCTCTCTGTCTCTCTCCTTTAGTCTGGAAAGGTGCATCTCTACCCTGCTTTCTCACACACTCAACCGAAAAATAAAAGGATTTGTGAGAGCTGTGCATTATTTTTCCATACTTGGACCCTGCATCGTTTCTACAGGAACCTGCATCATTTATGCAAGTGATTTTAGACAGCTAAAATAAAACTCAGAAAAGAAAAATCCAGTGAAATAGAAGAGAGATGTGTAGGCCAGCGGTTCCCAATCTGCCGTACGGGTACCACCAGTGGGACGCAGGCAACCTGTCAGTGGTAGTGTTAACAGATTTATTATAATTACTTTACATGACAAAAATTTGCTGGTGGTACTTAAGGTTGTATTGTTTTGAACGGGTGGTGCGTAGTCTGTGAGTTTGAGAACTGCTGCTGTAGGCAGTAAATTGTGGAGGTTTGGGGAAAGATTTGCTCCTTTTAGTTTCTTTTCACTACTAGAAACTGCAGTGGAGTGACTCTGCCATCAGGTCTGGGCAGTGTGTTACTTTGCATGGTCGGACCCTGCGTCCTGTGTACAGGAACCTGCATCATTTATACAAGTGGGTTTAGGCTGTTAAAAAAAAAAAAAGCAAGACAAAATGATGACATGTAAGCAGGGAGATGTTGTAGCCAGTAAACTGGAGGTTTGGGGAGAAAGTCGCTCCCTTTAAATACTAGAAACTGCAGGGCAGTGACACTGCCATCCGGTTTGGTCAATGTGTTATTTTCCATGCTTGGACCTGCATCATTTATACAATAAATTTAGACTGTTAAAAAAAAAAGCCATGAAATATAAGCAAGAGATTATGTAGGCGGTAAACTGTGTAGGTGTGGGGAGAAAGTCGCTCCCTTTAGTTCCTTTTAACGAATAGAAACTGCAGGCAAGTGACTCTGCCATCAGGTCTGGTCAATGTGGCGATCAAGTGGCTTCAGGGCAGGGAGGAAACTACCCCGTACATCCTTCAGCAAACCAAGAGGGAAGGAAAAAAAGAAAACCAAACCAAACAAACCCACACACACAAGGTCTTTTTTTGATCGTAGGCACCCTCAGAGCCTGAAAAAAATGCACATGGCAGCCTGGTGTATGAGATACATAAATAAAATGCAGGGATTCAACTTCCTCGCTCTTTTTTTTTTTTTTTTGGAAGTCCATTTCCGATGCACTAAAAAAAACAGATCATGATCTGACAGCCTTTCTGCTTGGTTTTCGCCTGGCTGTGTGAGAGAAAGGTGCAGAGAGCAGGTAAAGAATTTTTTTTAAAAGGAGTAATTTAAAAAAAAAAAAAAAACCCCAACAAAAAAGCCCAGCAGCTGACCAGGGCTCTTTGTATTCGGTTCTCAAAATTACACCTTTAAAACTTCACCCAAACTCCTTTGTTCAGCCATCACTTCTGCCTGAATTACTCTCAGATTCGCATTACACACCACCCATCCCCACTTACTGCAGAAAGTTTATAGGAACAGCCCCTTGGCCAAAGGGAATAAGTCTTCGGCTTTTCCCTGTTGATGATGGGCACTGATCTTCCAGTCTGTGCTGTTTCTTCAGAAAATATCAACCTACTTTTCCCCACAACCGGCCTGAAATTCCTACTGCACATTTTCTGATTTTTTTTTTATTAACCTCTGATTTCCCCCCCCCCCCAACAAAAACGGGAAACAGCTGTCGGAGGTTGGTAACTAATAAACTCAGTGGGATAAGAAGCTGAAACGATCCTTTGTCTCCGCTCAGGACAGCAGTGATATTTGCCTCCCCGCTTTAAACTTTGCCTTAAAAAAATAGCTTTTCCCCCTTTCTGCAATTCACTGCGTACAATTAAAATGGAAGACCACCACCAAGTGTGCTAGAACCATTTTAATATAATTATACATATCTGCCAAATCCAGGAAAAAAAACGGTTTATGCATATATATCTTTTTTTTTTTTCAATTAACATCTGCAAGCATAAACGACAATGAATTTCTCGGTTTAAATTCATCAGGTCAGAGCAATCGACCAGTGTCCTGTTTGATTTTTTACTGCTCGCTCTGCCAACAGTAAGATACTACAGATGAGTTTAGTGTCCTTGTGTGTATTCGTTCTTTCTCTTTCATTCAGAGACAGTTTGTTGTTAAAAGTTTCAGTGCAGCTCACCTCTGGTGCAAGGCGATCTTTTTTATTTTATTTTATTTTTAAGATGATAATAGGTAACTCAGTTGCTCTGAATTTCACTTATAATTATAACCTATTTAAATCACAGCAGAACCCCTGCTGATGCGGAGTTCACAGTTGCATACAATACAGGAGATCACAGTTTTGAAGTCTAGCACAGATTAAAAACCACAGATGTACCATTTATATAAGACACACACTGATTGTCTCTTAAAAACTACATATTGACTCCTTATGAACATTATTTCTTCTTTTTTTTTTTTAAATAAAGTAGTGCAGCTAGGACAATCAGTAGCACAACCCACACAGCCCTGAACCAAGGTCTTTCAGTGCCAACTAGCAAGTTGGGCATGAAACAGTTGAATGAGCTTGAGAGAGAAAGAGAAAGAGAGAGACAGAGAGAGAGAGAAGCAGAGAGAAAGATAGAGAGATGCTGTCCATTCCAAAGATTTTAACCAAGGGTTGGCTAACACACTGGAAACCTCTGGGTGAAGGATCTTTCCACACACACACACACAAAAGAAATAAAAACCTAGACAATTTATTTTAACTGGCCCATAGATGGAATGCTCTTCCATTCCTTTCAAACAAAGAAACCCAACAATTGGCTAAAACTATAAAGAACACAGGTTGGTCTGTCTCTTTCTGCTCACTAGATGATCTGTCCACTTAAGGCCGTCTTCCTTCATTTCCACTCTATTCCTTTCCAGAGCTTCTGAGCAGGAGATGAATCTGGATATGATCACACCAACTGTCTCTCTTTTTTCCTCTTTAATTTAACCAAGACCTGACTAAAACGGGAATGTTCAGCCCAGCATGTTTTTTATTATTATTTTATTATCACAAAGGGTTCCTTCAGGCCTTCACAAAACCTGGAACTTCCATGAGGATGTCTGGTCTTTATAATCCAAGCAGTCAGCATTGAAGTTTAGCTTCCAGGAGGCAGTTTGGTCTTTATAATCCAAGCAATCGGTGGTTGAGTTAAAGCCCAAGCTCGAAGCTCCATAGCCCTGGGTGGAGAGGGAGGCTGGGGACTGGTTGAGATGGCTGGTGACTGCATTGGTACCCATAGGACTGAGTGTGGCCCCTGGTCCAGGCAGCTGGTGATGCATAGGGGTCAAGTAAGATCCACAGTCCATACCTCCGAAGTAGGAGGTTGAGCCAGCATATCCTTGGCTATAACCTGAAGCTTGGGTGTAGGTCATAGGGTAGGATCTCTGCATGCAAGAAGAGGAGGTGGACAGGGGATCTGAGAGTGGGGAGATGGAAGCTGGGCTCCAGATAGACACGGGGGCACTGCTGCTGGAAATGGCTGGGACTGAGGTGCTGGAAGGGGGGCTGAACTGGCCACTGGTCCCACTCTCGGAACTTACTTCCCGGGCCGGGGAGCTCTTCTTCTTGGCAGGCCTCACTTTGTTCTGCCCGCCGTTCTGCTGCTGTTGCTGCTGCTGGCGGCACTTGGCTCTACGGTTTTTAAACCACACCTTGAGAACAAGGAGAAAGGGAGAGAAGCCTCTGATTAGTGACATGAGTGACAACTCCGAGAGGGCCAGGGGCGAGTGCCCACGGACTCGTGTATTAAAGCTCTTGTTAGCCGGGGCTGGTTTAAAGGCTGCTGCAAAGAAAGCCTCCGCGGGTCCCGCTCTCTGGGATTATTAGTAATAATAGCAAGTAGGAATGGGCAAATCAAACTGCTTAATAAGGTCACTTTTGGGGGGGAAAAAACAGCCCTCACCATTTGCTACGCTTGCCAGCCTGGGGGCCCCAGGAGCCCCCATTTAAGTCCTATTGAAGTCAAGCCCTTAATTAGAAACAAAGAGCATGATAAATGGAGGAAACAATTAGGGAAACAAAGAAAAATGTGTGTTTAAAAGCGCGTTGTTTGTTCCTCCAACCGGCCATCCCCTCCCTTCTCTCCTGCCGCCCTTCCCAACCCAGCCATCCTGCCCCCCATAGCCCTGCAGGGATTAACAGATGAAGGATGGGATGGGGGGACTGATTAGCTCTGAAGGAGACCAGATCACCCAGAGCTGGTGTCACTGGCGCACTGGGCTCAGGCCTGCTGCCACTAGCTCCCGGCCCCTCCACCTCTCACCTCCCTGCCCTCCAGCAAGGCCTCCGCCACTCTCCAAGGCACTGCCAGCTGCAAGCTATTCCGCATTTGCCTCCACAAAGCCTTGGCCCGTGGTCTAACCAGTTTGCTCAGTGGTGAGAGAAAAAGAAGAGATAATGGACCTTGAGCAGCCTCTCCCTGTGGATTTTCCCAGCTGGCCATCCACAGACCCAGTGCCGACGGCACCTGGGTACCACTCAGCCAAGATAGCCTTCCTCAGCTTATTGCTCTTACTGCAACGGGCCTCTTGGCTGCATGGACACCGGAGGGTTTGGTCACCAAGGTGCCCTAGGGAAAGGCCTCAGACGTGACAATGCAGCCATTTAACTGGAATAACCTGTCCGTGGGGCTCAGGAAAGGCGCCCTGAGGGCAGGGCCTCCAAGAGAAGGCAGTTGGCTCAGATAAAACCTGACCGCTGAAGGGGTGAAGGAAGAGAGGTTTGCTTTCCTTCCATCGGGGGTGTGAGGAGATGTCCCCCAACTACCCCTGGCCCAGCCCTGCAATGCCCCGGGGACAGCATCTGACCCATTCCTCCCCAGCGCCAGCCTCCTGCTCACAAGGGCACCCCCAGAGGCTTCCCCTGCACCTTTCCCCCTTGCCGCTCCCATAGGCAGGCGCCAAAGGAGCCCGTGGAGTCCACAGCAGGCCAAGTGCAGACGCGAGGCAGCGCTTGGACAGGGCCAGAAGGGGACCGGGCGCCCTGTTCCACCAGGGCCAGGCTGGGTGGGGAGGGAAAGGAGGCAGGGTCGTGCCCAGTTGTCAGCGGGGGGCGGAGGGGGGAGTGGGTGGGGGCCATGCTTACCTGCTCCTGGGACTCAGGCAGGTTGATTTTGAGCGCCACCTCCTCACGCATGAAGATGTCCGGGTAGCGGGTCTTGGCGAAGAGCGCGCCCGGGCAGCCCCCCCCCTCCAGCCCCCCACCCGCCTCCTAGAAAGGGAGATGCCTCAGTAACTCCCCCGCACCCCCCACCCCAACCTCTCCCCATCCCCTAGGGAAGGGAGATGCCTGGCTCCGAGGGAAGGGACCCCGGGCATATCCCCCCCCAGGCACCGATCCTCCTGCTCCTGCCCACCTCAGGGAGCCCCCGCCAACCTATTCCAGCCCCGCTGCCTGGACGCGCCGGGGGTTGCAGGGCATGCACCCCCCAGCGCCCAGGGGCCGACAAGGTGAGGAGCTACCTCTCCTTGGCTGCTAAGGCCTGGAGGAGCCCGGCTGGGTGCTGCTTACCAGGGTAGCCGACGGAGGGGTGCAGCAGGTCCATGCCCGACGTGGTGAGACTCAGCCCATTGACGGCATAAGGTGGTTGCTTAAGATAAGACATCATGCTAAAGTTGGAGCGGGGTAGGGAGGAGGCAGCGATCGGGGCCAGGGGAGAGGGGTCTCGACGCCCCTGGGTGCTGGGAGGCAGCGGCTGGGTCCGGCCTGCGACAGGGGCTCTGCAAGATGGAGAGAACAAGGCGGGCAGCTGAGGCTGGCTGTGCCCGGAGCAGGGCAAGGCCTCCCAGCTCCCCCAGGCCTGCAGCATGGGGGGACAGCCTGCCTGGATCCACACATCCCACCCGCAGGAGGGGAGGAGAGGCATTGCCCCCCTCCAGCAAGCGGCAGCCCTCCTCCACGAGCAGCACCCCCACTCCTCCAGCCCCCCTCCCCCGCCTTGCAATGGGCACATTGTATCGCATTTGCATCGGAGGCATTGCCTGGCCTGAGCTAATTGTCTGCAACAAAACTTGATTGCAGCCATTTGCAGACACAAAGGGCTCCTGGCTAAATAAATACTGCCCATCACAAAGCCCATTGGGGGGAAACAAAGGAACAACCCCCCCCAGTCTGTAGCAAGGAGTTGCGTGAGCCCAACTCTTGTCCACATTCAAACCCCCCCCACAAGAAGCAGCCACTTGGGAAGGGCTAAACTTTTTGCATTGAAGGGATTGCTAAGCACCCCCCTTCCCCCCATTAGCACTCTGCCTAATTAGATCCAAGCACCAGGAACAGATCTAGAAGACCTCTGAGAAACTCTGGGCTTAGGCAGGCCGGACTTCAAACTTCCCAACACCAACAAGAGCCAAAAAGCAAGCCTGGCAGGGCTAAGCTCTCCATGCTCGGTGCCCACGGGCTGTGCTCGGGGATGAATGGGGAGGGGAAGGGCGGGTTGGCACACGAGCCCGGGCGAGATGGGGCTCTGGTGTGACCCAGGCCCTGGCAGTTCTGCTGCCAAGTGCATTCAGCCCTCCCTTGCATTTGCACAGGGCGCAGCTCTGCGGGCTTTGAGGACACCGCTGAACACAGAGGGGATGGGGCAGGGGGAAAGACCCCCTGTTACCTGCCTAGCCCTGCACTGCCTTTGCTGCCTCTGCCTCCCCTCCGGTCCAAACACCACTGCTGCCCGGCCCTGCTGCAGAGCGGGACACATCCCTGGCTCACTCAGGCGCTGGCACCGGATAAAATCTCGCTCCTCTCCTGGAAGGATCTCATGACTTCACAAC